CAAGCCTCTTGTTTCTCTGCTCGCTCGCTCGCCACCGAGCGCTTCTCGTATGTTGAACTGCTCCCTCGCACGCTCTTTGGTCGCTCCTTTCGCTTCGCGGTCTGAATTTATTCTGCAGTCACCTCAGGTCACCTATACTACTACTAGCTCGTTGCCCTCTCGATCCATCTCCTAGTGAGATGAATCACTCACAATCTTTTGCAATCACATTTGACTTTGACAGTCCATATCGCGCAGAGCCAGCGAGCACGATGCGATCTTGAGCGCTGAGCTAGAGATCGTTCGTCCCAAGGTGGTATTCCACGATTGTCAGTCCACTGCTGCTTGACGAGAGGCGCAAAAGTGGTCTTTAATCATGAAGAATGCCGAACTTGAATGCTTTGACTGAATTAGAATCGCGACGCCATTTGAATTGCGTCGACGCGGGCCAAGAGTCTTTGCAAGCCGATATGATAAGTCGCGGGACCAATTAAGACGGATGCTGTCCATGTAGACGCGTGACACACGCGTGCGAGAGCTTGTATGCACGGTGCACGCGGTACACGTGACTCACGACTGATGTGTTCGCGGGTGTCCATGCACGCAGCCAGCCACACTTTGAAGCCCAGCGACATCATCAGCCGGTCTTGCCATCTGTCCACGATTGCCCCTCGCTTGGGGCGTGAGGAAGGGCCACCGTGCTATCATATCCCTGTCACTTCGCCCATAACGAAGCAGGCTTCGACTCAGAGCGGCTATACTCGCTCTGCATTCTAGGTGCCGATAAACCGACTCGAAAGAGAGCAGCGCCATAATCATGTGCATGCCATCTTGACCGGCCCGTGCACTATTACAGGCCGCCTGGCTGGCTGGCCGGCAAGATTTGGCAAGCACATCGCACATTTCAAATCACCAACAGGCGCATGTCGGCAACCATGTCCAGCATTCCCTCACTGGCCGCACTCGAGGCGATGGATCTTCGACCCAAATACAAGAACAATTGTGGTGCTTGGTGAGCATGTGAAAGATCTTTTCGTCCCCGACTCGAAATGCGGCGATTGCTCGAAGGACTAATGCGCCTCCGCCTTTTTTTTTGCAACAATTGCCTAGCCGAAAGCGTAAACTCAAGTGCGATCGCGTCAAGCCTTGCTCAACGTGCGTGCTGAGGGATATTTCAGATCAGTGCTTTGTCGACGAGCCAGAACCTACACCACCTCTGCGACCTGGCTTCGCATCTCATGCAGCGCACAAGAGATTGAGAACAGGAGACGCGGAGCACGCTGGATCGAGTCATCATGTGTCGCACAGGAGCTCAGCACACGTGGGGTCGAGCGGAGCAGGCGGAGGACAGACAGTAGTCGGGGGCTCACCATCCAGCGCGAGCGCCAGCACGCCTCCCAACGGTCATCATCGAAACACGATCCTAGAGAGTGTACAGGCTCAACTTGCGGACACTCAGCGTCAGCTCCTTGTGCTCAGCCAATCTTTGGCCACACTTCAATCGGATCGCCTCCAAGCAGCAGTTCCTCTCACAGAGTCGTCGGACGACGATGCTGCAGCCGGAATATCATGGCAAGCGCTATTCCCCCTTCTTCCCACCCTAGAAGCTTGCCACACCCTCGTCGAGCGGTTCTTTGTGGATGCGCTTTGGTACATACCCGTCATCCACAAGACTTCATTCGTAGAACGTGTCTGGATACCCTTCGCCTCTGGAAGAGCTGCAGTCACTAGGCCATTGGCAGCCGTCATATGCCTCGTTTTGGCTTACCCGCTGCAGCTTTGTCCGGATCAGTCAGACATCACGCGGCACAAGAGCCTTGGCGATGCGTGCGACATTGTGGATCGCCTGGTACGGGAAGCGTTCAAGCTGACTGCCAATCAAAAGGCTGCTTGGGGACCCTTCAAAGCGCCTCAATGCAATTTGCCTCTGATCCAAGCGCTGCTTCTGCAGCTCGTGTTCCTGGTGAGCGATCTGTCGGATTGGTGATGCAGATGTGCGAATCATCACTTAGCGCAAGGTCCATCCTCCCGCGTTCGTGCACCTAGTCCATAGTCGGCTCTATGGATCCTGCGCTTCCTCTTCAAGCAGACGTCATTGCCCGCGCACACTACGCCGGATATTTTCGCATTGCTGGCATGCCTCCGTTGATCGGTCCGGGACTCCCTTGGGACGAGCGTGGAGCACCCAAGGTGCATGATGCCCGTGACGAGCGCTTCTCGGACGAGCGACCAGAAGGAGAAAAGTTGCCCATCCTCACAGGCGAGATGCCTGCTGGCTCCGCGCTGGAGACAGAGTATCGCAGAAGAATTGCATGGACATGTTTCTGCCATGCCGGATGGTTTGCGCTGGTCACCTCCACACAGCCGCTCATCAGCATGTCCGACTTCCTTGTCCCTCGACCGACTTTCCTCACAGACGAACATTTCGATCCTCTGACTGGACAGGTGCTCACCGAGATTTCTGAAGAAGCTAGAGCGCAAGGATTACGGCAATCAGATGCTGATCGATATTTGGATCCATATGCTGACTACCTCTTCGGAACCCTCGAAAGTTCCTTCGCCACGCGACGTGTCGCAGACTTTTTCCATAGGTTGCCATCGATGAGCGCATGGGAGCGTCACGAGGCGGTGCGAATCCATGAGAACGCATTTGAGCAGTTTGTCACCGCTTCAGGCAATAACCTCGCTGCTATTGAGAAACAATGGAGGAAAGGCACAGAGATAGGTGCTAGATGTGCAGTGGGTGGCCTCATCGTATACACCTCGC